CAACTGCAATAACAAGTGATCATCAAGGTTCTTGTTGGGAAGAAATAATTAAATATTTTCAACGATTATTGAAACATGCATTTAAACGATTCAGAATATTCGAGACAAATGATCAACAAAAACATGATAAAGTAAGTATAACAAAAATTACATAAAATTAATCAGATTAACAATTTCCAATAGGAGAAGATCGAAATGTTAGTTTTCAAAGAATAAATCCTAGTCAGTCGATTAAAGATTAATCAATCGGATTATATGAACAATACATTGGCAATATGAAATTAAGCATTTGTTATAGTTTCACAAGTCTATAGTACTGAATATTTCTAGATCATAGATATAGAATACAAAGATTAGATAAATTTTCACTTCAGAGATAGTATCAGATTTCATTCGTTCACATTTCAGAGATCCATTATGAGTCATCGGCAAGTCACTAGATATTGTGAGTGATACTTTTTTGTATCCTATCTGGTTGATGAAAACTGATCGATTTCTGAACATTAACTAGAGGACGCCTTTCTCTTCAACTAGCATTGATTGACTATTGAATCAGTAATCAGATCGACTAGAAAATCGTTTCAACGGGATCAATCAAAGACCGAAACGAACCGAAGTGTTCAAGTTTTGTTCTGTCCGGTTAGAACCTTTGAAAAGTAGTTCGAATACGGTTCGATTCCCTTTCGGCCTCTGGTATCGATTGTTGAAAAGCAATCAAGTTCACTGGGGGATATACTGTATTGAATTTCAGCATATTCAGAGAAATAGTGCTATCGACAAAATTTTGTTCAATTCCAAAAACCATTTAGTTTTGATTAATATTTGTGTGTATAAAAGAAATAAAATTAAATAATTGTTTTTCTACAGATTAATCGAAGACATGATCGAAAAGTAACAACAACAGAAAAGGTATTAACACCAAGTGCATTACCTTCATCTAATGTCAATATAGTCTCGTCAACTTCACTAATTAGTCAAAAACATCTACCAAATTGTCGATATCATCAATCCCAATCACTATTAGTATCAATGCCATTATTAAAATCGATTGACCATGACACTGGCACTTGTGACATTTGTCCAGATGTAATTGCTCCAACGTCGGCAAATAATAATTCACTTATTGAAAAAGATCGACAAAAAAATGAGAATCTTGATTTCGAACAACAAATAGAAAGAAATGACATATGTAATTGTTATTATCAAAATGAAATTGTTAATACATCCGACAATAATCAAGAAGAAGAAGAAGAAGAAGAAGAAGAAAAATCAAAATTTCGTCAAAGATGTGAACTATGTTGTTGTTGTTGTTGTTCATGTTTTACAATAATACAAAAATCAATTTCACGTGTTGTTGCTAGTAAATATTTTGATCGCATTATTTTCTCAGCAATTATTATAAATACACTTTCAATGGCTATTGAATATCATGGACAACCACAATTAGTAACAAATGTATTGGAATATAGCAATTATTTTTTTATAATACTATTTACAATTGAGATGTTATTTAGAATAATTGCGGAAGGTTGTTTAGAATATATTAAAATTCCATTTAATATATTTGATGGTGGAATAGTTTTAATTAGTCTTATTGATTTATATGGAACACAAAATAGTGGATTATCTGTTTTACGTACATTTAGATTATTACGTGCATTTAAACTTGTTCGATTTATGCCAACATTAAGACGACAATTGGTGAGTTAAATTATAGTCAGAGGTCGAAAACGAACCGAACCAACTTTTTAAAAATAAAGTCGAACCGAACCGAAACTGAAGTAATTTTGAAGCAAAAAAAGTTGCACACGGTTTAATTTTCGATGACAAAAAAGTAACTAAACTATCATTGATTTAGAAAAGTATAACCCCGTCGAGAAAGATAAAAACGAACATTTATTGATCGTTTCACATGCTTAATTTAATATCTGTGTATTTCTGTCTGCTTTTTCTCTTAGTTTTAGTTACACAAATTGTGTTTATGATGATAGGTCACTTTTATATGGCATAATTCTTTGATTTTTCTTTTATAAATTTCTCCATTTTTCTAAAGTGCGATGAATAATCGTCCGTAGTAATATGATATTAGTATCAGCACTAGAATATTTCTAGTTCTCATGTATCAATGTTAACATATTATTTTAATCTACAAATGTATTTATCAGTGTTAATTGATACGAATATGAACTTCCATGTGGCAATTTTGATCGTCCGAAAACTAAGTTTTGACTTCTGCTCTGGTCTTGATTAAATGCCAGTAATACTATTCCAGTCGAACCGCAGCCGAACTGTTTGTTTTAAAGACCAGCCGAGCCGAACCGAACTCGAATCACCATCTCGAAAAAGAAATCGAACCGTGTTTTCAAAAGTGAATCCGAATCGAACCGAACTCGATCTAGAAAAACTCGGTTCGATTCGACCTCTGATTACAGTTGAACGCCCAGATCGATTAAAACAGTGATCGCAACGGCGCCGTTTACGACATCTAACAGTACGCATAGAGTGTAATCCCGGTCGTTTACGGTGAAAATACGTCCCGTTACGATGCTGTATTGTCCCATTATAACACGAGTAGTAATACGGCCCTGTATGTCCTTACCGTATACGGTGAGATAAATGGTCATAAACGATGCTTTAAGGTAGCTGTATATGGATCGTATTTTTATCATCAACGGCAGTATTTACATCATTTTCTAGTAGTTTATTTCTGCTTACGGTCAATTTTCCCCTATTCAATTTATTGTAGTATCTGGTTGTAGCATGCTGGTACATTACAATTCATGCCTCCTGCTATTTTCTATTTTTTCACCTGCTTTGTATTTTTGTACAAAATGAATGTTTGACAAAATAGAGAGCACGACAAAGTACGAAAAGAACGATAAGATACAAAAAACTGTCTGACGAATGCCGAGAAGAAGAAAAGAAAAATCTTGACAAACAATTTGGAAAACGAAAATAAAAATCTTTGGTGACTTACCCAACACGAATAACGCGAGAAAGGGCAATAAAAATACGCGTGTCTTTGCCTATAATTAGTAACAGCAGCAAATCTAGATACCATGCAGCTTCTCACGAAGACATCATTACATGAGACGCATAGTAACATCGAAGAGGGCTCATTGACAGCTATCGATTGATATGAGAATTGACTAGAAAAGATTTATAGGGACCTCACATTAACAAAAAAGAAAAAGAAATCTCCCCTCCGGGTGAGTGCGAAAATGAAAAAGATGATATTCATGTCTAGTTCAATCTGTGGCTCCATGAGATCCTGATAGTAAGGATGTTTGCACTCTGAAAGCTTCTAAAATCTGAAGTGTTTCACGGCGCAAACATACTTTTACGTACATACGTTTTTATATAACGATGCAAAAACGGAACGTAAACGATCACTGTTATAGCACCTTATGTGGCACTCTGTAAATGACTCCGTTATTCACTTACAACTTCTCGGAAACGGACATTCGTATACGGTAACCCAATGAACCTCTGTGAGTGCATCATTTTTTACTCGTTTACTGTCGTTTACGAACTGTTTTGTTCGACTTCGGTAGCTTATTTTAAAAAAGATAACTTTTTCTTAAATATCAATAAAACAATGATCAAAAGACGAGCAAAGAAAGTTTTCATAGTACATTAGTCGAACATTTTGTTGTCGTCGTGTTGGATTAAGGATTTAGCTGTAAGCGGATATCTAACGAAGTCTTCAATGATTAATTTGATAAGACCGTTTACCAGATTTGACAACAGCTAATCAGAAAATCTTCACAACTAAAGTGAAAAAGATTTGAGCATATCCGCCTAGGAAATTAAAATGTGGATTAAGATGGAGCTGCTGAAATAGTGGATAAGAGTTCTTGTATTTGGAAAGAAGGGGTTCAAATTTCTGGATATTTCTACTTCAATGCTTGTTTCTATATTTTATTGTTTGTCATCTAGGTTTTCATGGTTAAAACACTGGACCGTGTTGCAGCATTTTTACTACTGCTAGTTCTCTTCATATTCATTTTCAGGTAAGTCCATAGAAAAATAAATATTTTTGTATTCTCCCTCTTTCTCGTCCTAACTGCTTTGGAAATGAATTTTTTTTCGTTGTAAATTTCTCAAGTATATCTAACAATGGAAGAGTCTGTGTTGTAAGTGAGCTAGATTAGACATATTCGAGTCAAATTAGAGGTCTCACTGACAAACTACCAAATTTAAAATATTAGTTGTTCTTGGCTTGCATGGACGGAGGTAATTTGAATTTTACTGTATTGATGGTTTCATTATAGTGACATCAGTATACAGGAATTATTTATATCCATTTCATATATAGCCAACTGAATATTTCGATAGTATACATCAAAAATCTTTCTGAGATTCATTGACTATGTTAAGAACATACTAATTTCGATGTTTTCTGAAACATATGTAGTATCATAATCTAAAGAGGTGAGCATTTTTTTCAAAACATAATATTATCGATATTTCATATTTTATTTTAACTGAACTCAATAGACTGTACAGGATAACTGGTTTATACTTCAATACATTCACTACAAATGTAGATGTAAATCCTCAATCAAATGATAGTAACAAAGATGTTTTTTATGCCAAGCACAAATTAATAGTGTTCACTCATCGCAATTATTAATTGAGCAATATAGATCATAAAATTTGAAGCAAATAACTTTTGGTTTCTTGATTTCTCCAATTGTTTCTTTGATTATTCGAGCTTGTATGAACTCAGATTTAATGAGATTTTTAAATTGTGGAACGGATAATTGATTGTGAATAATGGAATGCATATTTATGTAATTTTGGCAATCAGTTATAGTCATTTCCGTTCGATTAATATGAATGTAATGCTCAATTTTCTTGTGAATAAATCGCCATGAACGGAATAAAGATATATCTACTAGTTGAATATGACCAGTTGATCCTTCGGAAAAAATTAGTAATTGACTATCTTGATTTGGAAACACTGCTCTAAATCTCCCTAGATCAGTTTGAGGTGTCTAAGAATCAAGTAATAGAAGACATTTTTTACCAACCAAGGGCCATAAGACTTCATTTAAAAACGTGCGATGTTTTTCATCGCTGCTTTTTTCAGATTTTGAAGCCCGTACTATAACATTTGGTGGTACAATTAAATTTTTTTGCATTCTTTGACCGAATCGATTTTCTTTTTCTTGAAGAATAAGCCGAAATTTATTTAATAAACGTCTATCAGCTGATGTAATAGGCTGCACGGTATAAGATTGCATTATATTGTGTTCTTCTTTTTAACAGCAACTTCTGTTGTTCTTTCACCAGTAAAAGAAAGAGTTCTTGGAGGAACATATTCCTGTTGAAATGAATAATCGTCACTGTTAAGAATTTCACGAGGAGAATAATTTGAAATTAAAGATCTGCTATTTTTGTCCCAATTCTGAGCATCTAAATATATAGATACGTTATATTCAGATAAATACTCTATAACATCGACGGAAAGTTCAAACACCTTCTAAACTGCAAACCTTCCTAGTTGAGCTAGCTCGTGTTATAAGTTTGTTGTATCTTCTAGTTGACATTCGATTTTGTTTTTTAAACCTTTTGATAAATGATTGACTTGCTTTGAAGGTATTCCAATTTAATTCTCTGGCCTCTTGAATCGCATAGAGTTCTAAATCAGTATCATGAACAGCTTCTTTTTCGATTATTCTTTTTCTTATAAAACTCGTTTAACATGAATTCTTTTATTTGTTCAAGTTTTTCATATCTTGTTCCTATGTTCTTGATGTATTCTCTAAATCTTGTAATATCATTCATCGATTTAACTTTTCGAAATCGATGGAAAATAGTTTTAAATCTAGCATGTGGATGCTGATCCACCCATTCAATTATCTTTTTCATTTCATCTAATGTAAATTTATATTTAATGTCTACGTATTCATTTTCGTCATAATCAAAATCTTCATCATTGCTTCTTCCTTCATCAGACATTTCGTCATATTCGTCATCGAATTCGAGAGTTTCATAAGTATAAAATTCACTAAAATAACTGCCTTTGAATGACTTTAGAACTTCAATTGTTGTGCGGTAACAATTTCATCGGTATTTGTTGTAGAATCTTTTAG